ATCTCTTGAACCCAGGAGGTGGAGGTTGCAGTGAGCCAAGATCGCACCATTGTACTCCAGCCTGGGCAACAAGAGCAAAACTCAGTCTCAAAAAAAAGAAAGAAAGAAAGAAAGAAAAACAAACTAGCCAGGAGTAGTGGGGTTCCCCTATAGTCCTAGATACTGGGGAGGCTGAAGCAGATGAATTGCTTTGGCCCCCAGGAAGTCAAGGCTACAGTGAGCCATGACTGCACCACTGCACTCCAGCCTGGGCAACAGTGTGAGACCAGGTCTCAAAAACAAACAAACAAACAAAAAACATATATGGGGAAAGCTTCTTTAAGGAGGACGAAAATGTTGTAAAATTCAATTGTAGTGATAGTTGTGCAGCCCCATAAATATACTAAAAAACCCTGGATTATACATTTCAAGTACAATTGTATCATATGTAAATTATAACTCAACAAAGCTGTTTAAAAAGAAAACCAAGTTTTAAAATGCACTGGCAGTTTTGCAAACATTTCTGCTCAGTTCTAAGAGAGTAAAAGGAACATACAAAATACATTTCTGCCAGACATTCTATCAAAAAGAAAGATGGATAGCTGTTATCTAACAAGAACAAAAAAAAAGCATTTTAATTAATATAGAATGCTATAAATTTACTCACAAAATATACATTTTATCTTTTTATAGAGATGCTTTATTATGCTTACTAACTTTATATGCATTAAAGATACTATTTTTGTAAAGTATTATACATCTGTGTGACACAAATCTTGTATAAAAATGCTAATTTTATTATGTATTATTTCATATTAAAACTAATTTTTAAAAAAATGATTATGTCCAGCTATTACATCATTAGCTCAAACATGCTTAACAAGAAAGAGAACTTGTGACTGTTACCAACTAAAAAAAATGCAATTTTATAGGACTTATTTACTATTTTGCAGCAAGATACCTCCCAGGTGAACTACTTCTAAAAAGACCTCCCAGTTCTCTCTTCCTCATCCTACCATTTGTCTCCTTCCATCTACTGCAAGTTTAATGAGGCAAGGCCATTATCCCTCTCCCCTATAATGAAATTGACAAATATCATCAAAAATGATTCAAGGAACAGCTGCTCTGGTACTTATGCTTTGGAACTGAACCTGAAGCCGAAAAGAAATAGTTCTGAAGGACACAACCCTGAGAATAAAATTCGGTTTCAATACCAGGCAACATGCATCTTCTGAGCCTACAGCAATAACCGTTATGTCTGGGTTTAAAACCTTCACAGCAAGGGCCTAAAAACACGCACCTGGCCTGGATCGTTGTACCAAAGTTCATCATGAAGTCGGTCAGGGTGGGCCTTTTTGCGTTTGATTTCTGCAATAACGTCAAAAACTTCAGAGTCTGAGCTGCTAGAACAGGTGCTGTCCTCATCAGACTCACACTCGGATTCACTGGAACTCTCTAACAGGGGTCGGGAGAAAAACACAGAAATTGATGGAATTAACAAACTGGTTTTTTTCTTTATTTTTGAGATGGAGTTTCGCTCTGTCACCCAGGCTGGAGTGCAGTGGCGCAATTTCAGCTCACTGCAACCTCCGCCTCCCAAGTTCAAGTGATTCTCCTGCCTCAGCCTCCTGAGTAGCTGGGATTACAGGCACCCACCACCATACCCAGCTAACTTTTGTATTTTTAGGAGAGAAGGGATTTTGCCATGCTGGCTAGGTTGGTCTCAAACTCCTGACCTCAGGTGAACCGCCCGCCTCGGCCTCCCAAAGTGCTGGGATTATAAGCGTGAGCCACCACACCTGACCAACAAACTGATTTTTGTGGAGACTTCCAAATGACTTAAACCTCGAAAGGTAAGAACAGTTCTTTAATCTTCTAGAAAATACTTAAGGGCCTACTCCACACCAAATACTCTACTAAACAACACCATAAAAAAATAATACAGTCCATAATGCTAAGTCACAATCTAGTTGGGGAAGCAAAGAAAATAAAGATCTTAAGAGAGAAAAGTAAGGCTCGATGAACAATCCCAGAAAAATGAAAAACCACAGTAGTATTTACGTAGTTTAACACTTGAGCTATGTAATGATACACAAAAGGGCAGCTTCACTGGTATCCAGAAAGACTGGTGACAATTTCAAAGTATGAGCACGTAACCCAGGCACTGTGACAGGATGGGAAAAGCATGATGAGGAGGAGAGAAGAAGAAAGGAATAATCCCAGCACTTTGGGAGGCCGAGGCAGATGGATCACGAGGTCAAGAGATCGAAACCTTCCTGGCCAACATGGGGAAACCCTGTCTCTACTAAAAATACAAAAAAATTCGATGGGCATGGTAGTGCATGCTTGTAGTCCCAGCTACTCGGGAGACTGAGGTAGGGGAATCACGTTAACCCGGGAGGCAGAGGTTGCAGTGAGCCAAGATCACACCACTGCACCCCAGCCTGGTGACAGAGAGAGACATCTCAAAAAAAAAAAAAAGGAATGAAGAGGGAGCACCGCAGGCAGCATGGAGCTAAGAACACGGTGGACTAGCTAGAGCACAAGCCACACAGAAGGACACTGGGAGGTGAGGGGCTGGGAGTGCTGGGAATGCCAGGCTGAAGGCTAGGAATGCAAATCCAAAAACTACATTGTTTTCTCTCAATAACAGCAAGAGAAGATGTTAGTCCTTAAAGTAACTGAATAAAAACAAAGAGTCATGCTAACTGAAATAAGCCAGTCACGAAAAGACAAATACTACATGATTCCACATATATGAAATATCTGAAACCGTCAAATTCATAGAGAAAGAAAGTAGCATAGTAGTAGCCAAAAGAATGAGGGAATTGGGGGCTGGGAAATTATTCCTTAACAGGAACAGAATTTCAGTTTGGTTTTTTTGGTTTATTTTTTGGAGACTGAGTCTCACTCTGTCACCCAGGCTGGAGTGCAGTGGCGCAACCCTGAATGACTGCAACCTCCACCTCCTGGATTCAAGCAATTCTCCTGCCTCAGCCTCCCGAGTAGCTGGGATTACAGACGTGTACCATCATGCCCAGCTAATTTTGTATATTTAGTACAGATGGGGTTTCACCATGTTAGCCAGGCAGATCTCGAACTCCTGAGCTCCAGTGATCTGCCCGTCTTGGCCTCCCAAAGTGCTGGGATTACAGGTGTGAGCCACTGAGCCCAGAGATTCAGTTTTATAAATGGAAAATAGTTCTGGAGACTGGTTGCAAACAGTGTCATGTTTAACCCTGTGGAACTGTACGCTTAAAAATGGTTAAAATGGTAAATTTTATATTATGTGTATTTTACCACAATTTAAAAAAAAGACCTAGAAGTTAGATTAATCCTACATAGTGAGACTCCATCTCTGCAAAAAGAAAAATAATTAATTTTTAAAAATAATCCTCTAAGAGATTAATGTAGTCGTTAACATAATAAAATCCAACACGGAGTTGTATTTATGTGTACTGCATGAGAGCGATGCTATTGTCATCCCTATTTTACAAATGGGAAAGTCTCAGACAGAGATGAACCTCTGGCCCAAGGTCACATAGCAAGTAGGTGGTAGAGCAGGGATTCAAACCCAAGCCATCTGGCTCCCAACTCAGTGGCTTTGTCCAACATGGACAACTGCCTCTCAGCATATGGGATGCAATGGAGGTGGGGAGATGAGAGCCAGAGAGAGCATATAGGTAAATGCACGTTGAAGGCTGGGCGCGGTGGCTCATGCCTATAATCTCAGCACTTTGGGAGGCCAAGGCAGGTAGATCACAAGGTCAGAAGATAGAGACCATCCTGGCTAACACGGTGAAACCCTGTCTCTACTAAAAATACAAAAAAAAATTAGCCAAGCGTGGTGGCTACTTGGGAGGCTGAGGCAAGAGAACTGTTTGAACCCAGGAGGCAGAGGTTGTGGTGAGCCGAAATTGCACCACTGCACTCCAGCCTGGGCAACAGAATAAGACTCCATCTCGAAAAAAAAAAAATGCATATTGAATGTTTCGTCTGTGTATGGCGTTCCGTTAGGATACAAAGTGGTAAAAAGCAATTTCCATCCTCAAAGATCTCACCTACTTGGAACCTCAGGACATATGCATGAAAAAATAGACCACCTTAAGAAAAAGCTATGTGAACTGTCCACGTGACTAGAGAGAAACCTTCAAACAGAGTTGGACTACAGTCGCTGTCTGCCTCATCAAAGCAGGTGCACCTGGCAAAGGAGAGGGCCAAGGAAGGCCACCTGCCCTCATGGGAGGCAGGGGCACAGGCTTTGCTTTCAGAAGGATGCTGAACTATTGTCTCTTCTGACTGGACAACTCCCAGCGGGCACCCTTATCATCATGCCTTGCAAATGAGATCGCTGCTGTATTCTGCCAAATGTAACTAAGGAAATATACAAGAAGTTCTACCGCTATGTATCTTACTGACTGTAATTAAAAAACAATAAAATGAAAAAGAAGAAACCTTAGTGTGGGACTCTCAAGGGTATTTCCCCAAAATTCAGGAGTGAAGCTATAATCACAAGGGTCTCAGTCTCATTAGTGGCTCTGACTCACCTAAATCTTCATCAAGCTTCGTCTTTGGAGGTTCCCACGGAGGGCGAGCAGCTTTGGCCTTTTCTTGCCTGCTCCCCAACTCCTCCTCAAATTTGTCATATAAGTCACGAAGCCTACTTGTTCCAACTACTGTAGAATCTCCCTTTTAAAAATAAAAGATCAGTATTAGGCAATCATATCAAAGATACATAAGGTTTCACAGGCAATCAAAGCATTTATAACAGCAAGATGCTATTTTTCAACCCTCAATTTAACAAACATTTAAAAATAAAACGCTCAACTACTGGCAGTCATACTCCGAATCAAACATACACTGAGAGTGGACACAGTCCTCAGGTAAAAGTGCCTTGCCAACATTCAAGAACATTAGAACAGGCCGGGCATGGTGGCTCACGCCTGTAATCCTAGCACACTTTGGGAGGCCGAGGCAGGAGGATTGCTTCAGGCCAGGAGTTCAAGATCAGCCTGGGCAACATAGAAAGACCCTACCTCAAATTGTAGGCCAGCGAAGATGCTGCTGGAGTTGTCTGAGGAGCATAAGGAGCACCTGGCCTTCCTGCCTCAAGTGGACAGCGCGGTGGTCGCCGAGTTTGGGAGGATTGCTGTGGAATTCCTGAGGCGCGGCGCAAACCCAAAAATCTACGAAGGCGCCGCCAGAAAACTCAATGTGAGTAGTGACACTGTCCAGCATGGTGTGGAAGGATTAACGTATCTCCTCACTGAGAGCTCAAAGCTCATGCTTGCAAGTAGAAGTCTCAGGCAACAGATTAAACCAGCAGTGACTATAAAGCTACACCTTAATCAAAATGGAGATCACAACACCAAAGTTCTACAAACAGACCCAGCCACTCTGCTCCATTTGGTTCAACAACTGGAACAAGCATTGGAAGGGGTGAAGACAAATCGCTGTAGGAGAGTTGTTCGCAACATCAAGTAGTGCCAGTTTTAAGGCCCAAGTGGTTGCTGCCAACATGGGCAAATTCATGAAACCTGGGAAGGTGGTGCTTGTCCTGGCTGGACGCTACTCTGGACGCAAAGCTGTCATCATGAACGTTGATGATGGCACCTCAGATCGCCCCTGTAGCCGCACTCTGGTGGCTGGAATTGACCACTAACCCTGTAAAGTGATAGCTGCCATGTGCAAGAAGAAGATCGCCAACAGGTCAAAGATCAAGTCTTTTATGAAAGTTTATAACTACAATCACCTAATGCCCACAAGGTACTCTGTGGATATCCTCTTGGACAAAACTGTCGTCAATAAGGATGTCTTCAGAGATCCTGCTCTTAAATGCAAGGCCTGACAAGAGGCCAAGGTCAAGTTTGAAGAGAGATACAAAATAGGCAAGAACAAGTGGTTCTTCCAGAAGCTGCGGTTTTAGATGCTTTGTTTTGGTCATTAAAAAATAAAAATAAAAATAAATAAATAAACAAAATTCATCTTCTCTTACAAACTTGCTCTTCTTCCAGTGTTTTTTATTTATGAAATGGTATCACCATTCACTCACTCACTCAAACCAGAGACGTATGTCACTCTTTGCTTCTCTCTGACTTCTTACCACAGCTGGTCAATTCCCAAGTTCTATCAATTCTACCTTCCTAAATATACCTTGAATTAGTTCACTTCTGTTCATTGCCCCCATGCTCATTGGTCCACTATTGTCTCTTGTAAGAGCTAGTGTATCTGCCTGCAGTTAACTGGTCTCCCTGATTTCCTCTTATCAAACCCCCCATACTCCACAGTGCATTCCCATTCCTTGCCCAGAGTCAGAATTGTCTTCCAAACAGAAATCATATTATTTGAATGCTGAAAACTCTTCAGTTGATTTACATTGCCTTTTTAATAAAATTCAAACTTCTAATATAACTTATAAAGTCTTTCATAATCTTGCTCCTGCCTTGATCTCCAATCTCCAGCCTC